CAAATTGGATGCTTACTTCTTTCAAATCTTCTTACAAATTGGATGTTTGTTGTGTACAAAATACACAACAAACTTTTGCCTAAATATTTTCGGAGGATCTAACATATTTCACAAAAATTATTTAGAACACAAAACATATTCAATTCCAATTCCAAACACATTAGAATTGAATGATATATTTTATGTTCTAAACAATTTTGATGAAATATGTTTGATCCTCTGATGATGGGCTTGTCAGTCTGAAAATACTTAGGCTAAAAGTTTGTTGTATATATTGTACTCCTGAAAGCAGTAAATGCATGTTGATTTAATATTTTTCAATAATGTAAGATAAAAATATCTTCTCTCCCAAAATATTTCTTCTTGTTTATAATGAAAAATATTTACTGAATTAATTACATTTATATAATTTACATGTCTAAAATGAAGCTCTAAACTATATTTAAGATTTATATCATTCAAAATTAACAACATGATAACCTTGAAATGTAAAAAAATTACTTCTACATCTCTAGTGATGATCATATTCAATGTCTTTCTTGGAGATAAAAAAACATTTAGTTGAATTTAATTAAACAACAAACGGAGAATTGCCCAGAAAGTTTTTTCCATTAAATATTTAGCTAATGCTTTCTCTAATATGAAAGTTAGAACCAAACTTTAAGATTAGAGAAAAAAGTTATAGTAGCTAAATATCTAATAGAAAACTTAGCATTAAACTGTTTAAAGAATTTAATTAAAACCATCCACACACTTAAACAGATTATCATCAAGGTATTTACTTCTTCAAATAATATAAAGACTCATTCATATGAAATATTTTCATTTTTATATATCTATTAAGGTAATAAAATTTTTAGAAAAAAAAGAAAATTATAAAATATATAAATTCAAGACTGAAAAACTGCACTTAATATAAAATTTATTATTTAATTTTATACTTTTAATAATTGGCAATTATTGCATAATAATGTCAAGAGAACATAAATGCCAAAAGGCACTTTAAATTTACATACATTTTGATATTCACACTAGATATCAAACTCTCAGCTTTTATGTTGTTTCAAGGTCAAGAATTTCCTTTGGGAAAACAAAGTTACTAGATTCACTCATTCCCCATTCAATAACAAATTACTTGTAACTACATACAACTAATAAATAATTCATTAAAAGTTATATATTTATAGTTCTATTGATTATTTATTTTATTAAAATGAATAAAAATTCACAAATTGTTATATAAATTTTGTTATTGCAAAATAACATTTATATTATTTTTTAATTACAATAATTCTCTTCTTTGCAATGTTTCTTTTTAAGTGTTATTGTTAATGATTTTCCTGCATATTAAATAAATGTAATAATACAATACATATTCTTATTAGAACAGCATTATAATAAGAATACATATTGTACTGCTATCCCATGTGAGTACATATATAAATATTGTATTTCCTTGATTAAACCCAGAAGGATTTATTTTTAAAATGTATGTAAAAGTGTAAATATATCCTGGGGTTTATTTGAAGCCTAGGATTTTTTGCAACAGGAGACAGTGGTTAAAAATTAAACCAAATATATTAATTTCCCATATATTTTCCAAACTATCAAAACTATTTATTGACTGTATTTATGGGTTTACAGCTACAACATTTGAAATAATTAGTGTTTTCATAGTTAACCCTGATTCAATGTTTACCAATTCAGTTATTAAGTTGTCATTCACGTCTGTTTCTATGTTATCATAGGAATCATGATCTTGACTACCATCTTCTGGTTCAAATTTGCCTCTTCTTTCCAACTTGAGTTTTGCGAATTACACTTCAGCCGATAAGCTTTCAACTTATGATCTCAATTGCAATTTTGTCAAGCTTAATATTTGGCAATATTTATAATCTTATTTCAAAAGCTGTTTCCATGAACCTTGAAAGTGTTCTCCAATTCTAGACAATTTAAAGAGGTAGAATTTTAAACTCCTTACCTGTCACTAACACTAAACCACATGATCCTATATAGTGTAATAATACATCAATGTGTTTCCCAAGCTTTTCAACTCACAGTTTATTTGAATCTTGGGGTTTAATCAAGAAAATATAGTATGTATTTATATATGTACATATGTATATATATAATTTATACACAAATGAAGATTCAAAACATGCAATGATCTTCAAAATGAAATGGTTTCTAATTGAACTACATTATGCATTATCACTTCTTCAAAATTTTTATTTTCTTTAAATTCTTCATAAAATAAAAAGCAAGAAGAGATTCTGAAATTTAAGCAATTAAAGATGAATTGAAAATCCCTAATAATTTTTGAAAATTTTATTTATAACTGTTTCTCACTGTCATCAAGCAAACATTTTCCTGAATTACAGTAAACTGTTGATTATCTGAAACAATTGGAGACTGGGGTTTGGAAAATTAATTTTTCAGATAACCAATTATGTACGAAAAAATACATTATTAATATAGCATATATTAGTATATCCCAATAATAATATATTAATCTATCCCATGGTGAAATTTTTCTCCATTGTGTGTCGCTTTGCGTTGAATTTTCATCAATGTTAAACCTAACAAAAATTTTTATAATAATAATCATGGCTATTGTATTGTTAAAAATTATTTCTTTATTTTGTACAAACAAAATAAATATTTTGAAAAATATAAAAACAAAAAATTATACTTTAGAAGTTAATCTAGTATCAAAAATGTTCAATTCAGCACGACACAGTCTGAATGGAACACTTTTGGTTAACCGACGTTTCGGTTGATCAGCATTCGGATAATCAATGCTCTACTACTATGAAATATACTGAAAATCTTCTCCTTGTTCTATATTACCATAATTATTCTATATATTTGATCATTAAATAATGTGATACACTGTACTACCTCCTCAATATAAAAATGCACTTTACAATCACTATTGTCTGGAGCTTCCTACATACCAGTATTCCTAAACATGTGGATGACAGAATTAAATTTTTTCAACTACATGTTCAGGTATACTGGCAGGTGTACTGTACTTGTTCTGGTATACCTGTCAGGAATACTTGTACATGTGTAGCTGGCATTTGTAGTACATAACAAAATTCATAAGTCACTAAAAGAGAACCACATGATACATTATATACCAATAACAGACAATTTCAGGTTTAGAGTTCAATGTCAATATACAGTAAGTACATTCATAAATAGAGTAAGTAATATCATCAAATAATAAATTAAAATTCTAAAATAACTTTTACTAAGTTGTTTTAGCATCATTCAATCAAATTAATAGAAATATAATTAAATCCATATAAAATGGTAAATATTTTAAAACACTGTTCATTTACTTTTTTATTATTCATGGAAATGTCAATAACCCTATCTAATACTAACAATTTTCATAAGTGTAATTTACAGTTTGCAAATACCAAACTTGAAGTAAAAAATGTTTTTTACTCTAAGTAGCATTGTTATGAATTACTATGAATTTTGAGCATTCTTGATGATGCTAGCTGTCATCACCAAGAATGCTCAAAAATCAATCATCAACTCTAAGATCTGGTCAAGGAATGTCATAAAGCAAAGAAAAGACCAATCACAAGTAGCTTCTGTTAAAACGCTTATTTTCCAAAAGGAATCTGATGTCAAAATCTCAAATTAGAAATCCAAGCAAGAAAATTTCAATATAAAAGAAAACTACATATTAGCACATTAAGAGTTTTGTGTCTTTCAACTCTCATTAAATTCTATTTTCAAAAAATATAAATTGATACATTCAGAAAGACCATTAAATTATTGTATACATACATTAAAAATTAAAATGACTTGTATCATAAATAATTAATAAAAATTGTTAAAAATGTAAAATGACTGGAATTTATTGGTAGATACAGTATTACAAAAAATAAAAACCATGACTTTCAAAACTTGATAAATATATAAAATATTATTATATTAGAGAGAAAATACATGAGAATTCCCAATTATTTTTAACCTATAAATCTAACATTATAGTTTCTAAAATTTATTTATTTTTAGAATATATTCCCCAATAGATACATGAGCAACTAAATACTTTTGTAACCACAGACCCAAAAACATTTGGGATGGCATTCTGCAAAAAATTCAACATTAACTAAATTATGAAAATTTTTCATCATCAGAAAATATCATAATAGAATGTTACTTAAAGTATAGAATACAGCATTCTTTATTTTCATACTATAAAAAAAGCCCCACCAAATGTTTTCAGGTCTAAAAGCTTAAAAACATTGGATACTCCCAGATACTGCTACAGAATTCATCCTCATAACATTATATATAAAGTAACTGATGAAAAAGTTAATGTATTTTACTATAGGTTAATGATACAATCTGTATTGTTCAGGGTACAATGTATATAGATCATACTGGTAAAAAAATTAAAATTTCATAACTATACTTCAAATAAAAATTATCATTAATCATGCAGAATTCATTATTTAATTAAACTGTAAGACAAAACATCTAACAGATTTTATAAAAAAAATGTTAAATATAATTTAATGGATGAATTAACTGAATAAGTTTAAAGATGTAAACAGTTTTAAAACTTTAATGTGCTATTTGTAAATCTGCAATACTTTATTATAATCAGCTTTTGTATAGAACCATAGGAGATAATCATTTTCTTCTGTAAACAAAATTTTTAAATAGCATAATTATCTTATCAAACTTGTTTATTTACTAACTATGCACATACTGATTGCGTCTAAATGAAATTATTGTAAATTTAAATACTGTAAATTTATTTATACAAATTTACATATCAATCTACCCAATTTTTATATTTTCTATCTTGTTTGCTTCTTCTAAAAAATCATTTAATTTAAAAAAATGTATACTTTTTGATTTATTTTCAAATCATTTCTTTATATCAATTGGAATCTTATATATTCTGACAGTTTTTATTAATGTTTCAAACCAAAACTTCACTTTATTAAAAGAAAAATCATGCTTACTGTCTTAAAGTCTTCGTTTCTCATCAGTCGCTTAATCATGGTAGAAAGTCAAATCCTGAGGCTCTAAGAAACAAACAGCAATACTTTCAGAAAAAGTTCACACAAATCATAGATAAAAATTATTTTTTATTTTTTGCAGAACTCACTATATGTTGAAATTAGTTTAAACACTTGAAAATAATGGCATACTTATTATATGTTTATCTACTATGAAAAAAGAAGAATCAACTCACCAAGATGACGTTCTATAATTGCTGTCCGCTTAACGTACATTCACTAAACAGTATTTTTATAGACCGTATCTTGTACGTTAAGCAAGCGCTGACTGTATATTTAAATTACATATAACAAAAGTACAAAAAAAGATTTTGTATTAATGATCTGTGTAAACTTTAAATTGTAATTTGCCAACGCATTGCAGGAATATATCATGTCATTCTATACTTCAATAATATAAACTAATACAAGTAATAATCTGTTTTCATTCCCTTTAAATATGCATGGCAGATATGTTTATTTTTCTGAAATAATGAACACTGTTACATCACTTTGTTATCATTCAGATGTAAAAATGGCATCAAACTGACAAAAGTATGCAATATCCTTACAAAATAAACTAATCTAAAATATTCTTAAGGTTATAGACTTTTAAAGGAAATGAAGTAACAGATAAACTATCATTACTTGTTATACAGTCTGCACTAAGCAACTACACAGTATAACGCATACATAAGTAGACAACATATAATAAGATCGCCAACATATTCAGATCCTCCAAATGCTCTTTTAAGCTGATTCAAATTGAATTTGTGAATATGTTTATGTAAATAACCATCATATCAGACAAGAATTAAATGAGAAAAAGTATTTCTTTAATAATAACATTTTGAAATCATTCAGTTCTGCATCATCTGCAAGAACTATTAAACTTTCATATGTATTCTTGTATTATTCATAATGAGTGGTATTTTTCATTATATGCAATATTTCTTCATTTACATATATAGACTACAACTCAACTTCATAAGAGATTTTTCATGCATATTCAGAAGTAAATAGTAGAGTGTATACAAAAATTAATTGGAAGATATTAGCAATAAGGAATTTTATGGATCAATTTATTCTTATGAATATTCTGATGAAAAAATCAAACTTGTGGATGGAAATAATGATTTCATAACAGTGATTTACAATCTTTCTGAACTAGTAATACAGTAGAACCTCGAAAACTCGTCCCTCGATAACTTAGCACTCCGGATAACTGGTCCACACCTTGGCAGGGCGAAAAAATCCTTAGTTAATTAATTTTCATTATAGACAGCTTTATAAAAGTATAAAAGCTCTCATAAAGTATTTTTCTGAGGTCTGTCTTATCAGGTAAATTACTGTACACAGTGTATTCATTAATTTTCATTTTCATGTAGTAGAGGCTCTATGCCTTCATAAAGGACGTACTTTTCCTTTGTTTAAGGGTATTTGGGCAGTTTATTCTCTGTTATATTCTGTACAAGTAAATACTGTACAAGTACAGTACAGTATTTTCTGAGGAATTACTCGTACTTATTTTTTTTAACCCCATTCCCGATAACTCGGCATTTTCACAAACTCGGCCACCCTTCGGTCCACATTAGGTCGAGTTTTCGAGGTTCTACTGTACAACAATCTTCTAGTATTATACTAAAGATGCCCTTATGAAATCATCAGTGCTACAAATGAAGCACTGATGACTTGCATTTTTTACATAACAAAATATACTAATAAAAAAACAACACAAACAACTAGAATTTTTAGATTATTTTTGAAATTTTTATAGCTCATCTATTCAAAACTTGCAAAATTTAAATTATCCATAAACCAGTCAAATACTGGAATATCATAGAGTTTGTGTTTCTCAATCAGTGTTCTCATAGTACACAAGTTGAGAAACACAGATCTAGAGTAAAAATAATACCAAAGAAAGTTTAAATAATACAGATGAAAATTTAGCCCCAGTTCAGCTAATAGAAAGTGATACTTGTTGAATTGTTTCAAATATAGTATTTTATATACTGTATATTTATATATATTAATAATATAACCCACAATGACAAACAGAACCACTAACTGGTGTGGTGTGTTGTAATTTAATATGACCCACAAGTCTCAAGGGGTTTTTCATAAGCAAAAAAAAAAATAAAACTAAATATAGTATGACCTTTATTTCTACATCTGTAGAATTACCTAAAGTTCTCTTTTTAGGCCATTTTCAATACTTTCAACTGAATTGATTGTCTCATGATTAGAAGACCCTTGGCACAAATCTCGGAATTCATCTAGAAATCACTAGATGAATTCTGCAATACACCAGTCAAGCCCATCAAATCTGCTGGTCCTTGAACCTCTGAAAACCTTGTGTATGAAAACTGCATGGTACAATTTATTCTGAATTTCCATGCTGTCTCAAAATTACAGTAATTCTGAGCAAATCTCAGAATACAGTAGTACATTTGAAATTTGAGTTGAATAATTTTCTAATTTTCTTTGTCAGACTGCCAAGATTTTAAGCCTCATTTTTCAATACAGTCTATATCTGCCATTCTTTCTTGCCTAAAAGCCATAAAAGATCACATTGGTAATATATGAACAGAGTAGAATAGACCCCTAATGTCAAGATGTTATAATAATGCTATATATAAGGTCCTGCTAAACACAGATAATAAAAAACTTATTGGGTTGTTTGGAAAGTAATTTCGTTTTTTTCGTGACAAAGAAAACAACTTTCTTATAATATATAAAAATTTTATTCAATTATATATTGACTATTTTGGTCCAATACCTTTTGCCACCTTTCTGGTAGTAGCATGATTCCAAGCTCGTAAAATTTCTGACCTTTGCTTACAAAAAACTGATCCAAGTAATTATTGACATCCTCATATACAGTAAATGTTTTACCTTTAAAAAATTTTGTAAAGATCAGAATAAGTAATAATCTGAGGGTGCCAGATCTGGTGAATATGGTGGATGTGGTAGCACATCCCATCCAAGGCTCTTAGTTTCGAGTTTTTCGTGTTACAACTCCCAACATGTTGAAGGTGTCACGTGGTACCATCTCACACTCTGATGTCAAAATGGTAGTCTAGAGTTCTAACTCACGTGCTTTCCCATCTCACCATGTGAGTTGCTAGTCACGTTGAGTCGAGCACGTGAGATTGCACTTAATTTTTCAACTAATTCTCTCCACAAATTGAATTGTCTTTTTCTTGTAAATTCATTGTCGAATTTTCCACTGTTCATTTTCTTATTATTTTCTACATATGTTACTAATATTTCTTTTTGTTCTTCGCTTATTTTTTAAAATAAAACATTGATGATTTTCATTTTGTTTCTGCGTACTATATTGCAATAAGACAATTTTTAACTGTAGCACGTGTAAACTAATTCACGTTGATTTGTTTACAACTTGTTACAGTTAAGTTGATTGGTTGAATCATTATAGTCGCAAACCCAGATGCATTGTAAATAATCCCATCATGCTTAACGACACATGCACCCAAGTGAGTATGATGTATTTCCGCTCGCCTTTCGAGTTCGCTCGAAGGGTCTAACTCGAGACTACCAATTATGTGAGTCACAGTAACATGAGTGAGTTTGATGACATCAGTTCGAGTACAACACGAAGAACTCGAGACTAAGGGCCCAAGCTGTAACAGCTTCTGATGAGTTAGCAAACTTGTGTGAAGTCTGCATTATCATGATGAAACACTACACCTTTTCTGTTGATCAATTCTGGCCTTTTCTCTTTGATGATATCACTCAATTTGTCCAGTTGATGGTAGTAGACTTTCGAATCAATTGTGGAATTGTCTAATAGAAGTGCAAAAAAATACAATTCCCTTAAAATCCCACCAATCAGAGAGCATCACTTTTTTTTTATGAATATTGGCTTTTGAAGTACTTTGAGCCAGCTCATCTTTTCTACTCCATGAGAAATGTCGTATACAATTGTTGTATACAACAATGTCGAATGCAAGTGATTTCGACATTGTTGTATACAATCCATTTCTCATCGCAAGTTATAATTTGCTTCAAAAATAGATCATTTTCTTGACATTTGAGATGCAAATCACAGATGTTAATGCAATGGAGCAAATCTATTACTTTAAGAACATGTGGAACCCATATATCAAGCTTTGAAACGAAACCAAGTTGTTTCAAGTGATCATAAACGGTTCAGTTTGACAAATTTAATCTCTTAGTGATTTTACGTGTTGTTATTCGGCAGTTTGCTTCAATCACTGCATTTATTTTGTTTTCATTGGCTTCAACTGGCCATCCAGAACATGGTCCATCTTCAATATTGAAATTGCCAGAACGAAATTTTCTAAATCAGTTTTGGCATGGTTGTTCTGTCAATACATCTTCTCCATACATGTCACACAATTTTTTTCTTGCTTCAACAGCATTCTTACCTTTTTGGTAATAAAAAAGCAAAATATGCCGAAAATGCTGCTTTTGATCTTCCATATTTGATGGGACACAAAAAAATAAACAATTGCACAAAATCAAACAAAATTTTTTACAAATAAGCCTTAAAATGCCAACTGTCAAAATATATAATGATAATTCAGTTTAGAATGAAAATGGCGGGTAAAAATATGACTAATTCCTCTGATGGTAAAAAAAAAAAAAATTACTTTCCGAAAAACCCAAAACTTGTTACACAACACTGCACACACAACAAATATCCAGCAAGAAATACTACAATCTTGTTTCTTCTTGCTGAATATTGACTATATATGCAGTGTTTATTTTACTTTGAGTATTACTTTTGAGTATTACTTAATGCATTTTTAACAGTGGGACTTTTAAAAAAAGAACACTAATAGTTTTGATCAAATTAACAGGTCACCCTCAAGCATGGACAGTCAAAAGAACAAATTCTCAATGAGTGCCTTTAACTGTCCATATCTGGGGATGGTCCATTAACTGGGTTGAAAATGTTATCATATTTTTAAAAATCCCACCGTTGAAAGTGCATTAAATAATTTAGCTACAGGTAAGTTGCAACAATGGTTAGTACACCATCTTTACTTTAAGAAACAGAAATTTTGAATAAACATCATACTATATTCATAACAATGTGGTCTATTAATTCCTGTGGATAAAATCTATTTTGGGTTTCTTCAAAATTCTAAAATATTTAATGTGAAATAAAAAGCAATATCTGATAAAGCAAAGTTCTAAATGCACATAAAACATAACTATAAAATAATAATTTTCAGATGAATCATTGTGCAAATAATAAAGCATCAACTACTGATATCTCATATGAAAAATTTGATAAGTAATATGTAATAGATAATGAAAAAGTTTGATAATACAAAGAATGGCAATTCTTTGTATAGATGCTTAAATATAACTTTAACAAGTGTGTGTTGGAATTTATAATCACATTAAAATTTAAAAACTTATTTAAACAAAGCAAATATTTTTTTTAAAAATGAGATCAAAAATGTATAAAAAGGAAATAACAACAACTTGCCATTCGGCTTATCCAGACAACAGAATTTTAATTAGACATCATATTTGGATCATTGAATCTGATCTTTAAATGAAGGAAAATAGTGTAATTGTTTAATCATAATCACACAGTTTGTCTAGTTAAAGATAACTGTTAAAGTAAACAAAAGCATATGTAACAAATGTCCCTTATTAGATATTTGAAAACTGGTCATAACAGATAAAGGATAATTAGCACTTTGAACTTGTTTTAAAAGTTTATCGTTTTACGAAAACATTTAAGCAAATTTAAACTAAACATTAGAGTTCATTTAAATTCTTTGGCAATTAAGAAAAATATTGATTCTACAATTTTTACANTCATCACCAAGAATGCTCAAAAATCAATCATCAACTCTAAGATCTGGTCAAGGAATGTCATAAAGCAAAGAAAAGACCAATCACAAGTAGCTTCTGTTAAAACGCTTATTTTCCAAAAGGAATCTGATGTCAAAATCTCAAATTAGAAATCCAAGCAAGAAAATTTCAATATAAAAGAAAACTACATATTAGCACATTAAGAGTTTTGTGTCTTTCAACTCTCATTAAATTCTATTTTCAAAAAATATAAATTGATACATTCAGAAAGACCATTAAATTATTGTATACATACATTAAAAATTAAAATGACTTGTATCATAAATAATTAATAAAAATTGTTAAATCCAGCAAAATTTAATAAAATTAAAAAATAAATGTTTGTTTCTATTTATAAATCCGTAAATCTTACTTTAATATAAAGCACATTAACAAAATTCTGTGTCATCTTTTGAAAACTAGACAGTTCTAAGTTAACTTTCTTTAAATATGATTTTTTATTTATATTCAAAAAGAAAATCTCTTACTAATAATGCACATTCATTCTAATCATTGGCACAGTCAATCTACTAATGTGGGATATCCAGGCTTGAATCCAATCTAGATTTCATAATTTATTATGAATAGTAGTGTTAGACGTCTCTAACTCATCTATGCTAGCTAACTCCACTGTGGGTCAGAACTATCTGTAACAGACAAAATTGTGGCTATTTGCATAGCCTTTAGTGTACAGATACTTCATGTTAACTAATCAATCATTCTAATCATTGATTTAGCAACAAAAGACAAATAATATGTTTAATTGTCAGAGATGTGAATTCTATTATAAATGACTAGAGAAAGTAGAATTTCTTATGATTAGCTGAATCAAACATGTTTACCATTTTTTTCTTTCAATCATTAAATAGAACAAACAAATTCTATCTTCTTTAAAATGTTTAGCCAAAGTTTATTAATTTATAAACGAAATTTTAATTTAAATCATGAAACTTGCATCACACACAATATAGATCAATATTCTTTATGATTTTTTAATAGGATCAAGTGCTATTCTGAGATTTTTGTATTATGACTATTTTAATGGATGCAGTATTTACTGATTCAAAATTGTATTTATAACTTTACATTATAAAGATACTTATATAATTCCAGTTAAATTATCAAATTATTTCGTTTCCAGATCATTAAACAAATGTTTTCGGCTGTTTGACCATCCATGAAAACTATTAGTCATCCATTATTTAACATAATGAAAGGTTCATGTTATTAAAAAAATAGATTGATTAATGAATAATACAAATATCTTCATTGTTTGTTAATTTACTTTTAAATAGAAATTCTTTGCATGTACGAAAAATTCTAAAAATAAAAATAAAGCAAATAAATATTCATTTGAAAGCCCAACAAATATCAAAATTACTCAGTTATAACTATTGACTAAAGAGAGAGAAGAAAACTAAGATTACTTTGAGACAATTAAATTAATTTCCTATTTAACAAAATTTAAATTTTATGTTCCTTATAAACATCCTAAAATATACAATATAATGAGACATTTAAAATATTGTTTGCTCATTACATTATTATTTGATATTATTCATTTGCATAATAAGTTGCGATATGCAAATGAAACCATTGTAGTTGATACCAGAATTCATAGAAACATTTGTTAAGAATAAATTTAAAAAACTAATTATTAAGGTAATGGCATTATAAGAATATATTAAAAGCCACAACAAAAAATATATCATATCAACATTAGGATGATTGTAAATACATAAAAATCCTAAAACATAAATGATTTTTTAATAAATGCAATGTTTGGACCAAATAATGTTAGCTGGTGAGTGAATCCCAAGAGATCAAGTAGAGCAAAGAAGTAGAAGATAGATAGATAAATGGAGTAACTTCCTAAGAAGAGTGAACAAGAAAGATAATTTAACTAAAAATAATTAGTAGTTAGTTAATAACAGATGATAATATTTAATTGCTACTATTATTAAACATTACAAATTATTATTGATATAAAACTTCAACAATAGCATTTTAACTAATTTTATAATATTTCTGTTAAAGCTATTATTAATTAAAATATTTGCATTATTTAAAACTGATTTTTTCAAACAAAATGACAAATTTTTGTTATGATTAGTATTGTTTAATTTTTATACATTGTTCCATACATTTTAAAAAGCATAAAATGCTTTGACATGTTGAACAACGATTTTTTTATCAAAGAAAATGCATTACAGACAGCCTGACTTTTGGAGAGGATGATGGAGTTGAAGCTGGTAAAAATGGACCAACTCTGACTCCTGTATCTTTTATTACATACTTTATATTAAGCTCCTAACAAGAGTATTAACCTCCTGTCTTACATAATAGGAGCCTCCTGTAATGCAATATCTTATTTTATGATTTCCCTATTTCATGGTCTTTCTTTGCATATCATAATGCCAACTTGAGTTAATATAGCTAAACAACCAGTGGATTACATACAAATTTATTGTGTTTCATGCAAATATAATTAATACCTATTTTAAATTATTATTTAGAGGCATGAGTTGAAGTCAAACTTTCAAAATTCTGAGTTGGATTCAGAGGCTTGGAGTGCCAACTCTACAGACCTGTTTTTTGGATAACTCATTCTTTCATCCATAATACTTTGATATTCCTAAATTTCTTTTCATATATCAAATTTGGACTTTTGTACTTTTTCAGCTAACAAGCAAAAAATTTTGAGTTATGCAGTGGCATTTTCTGCCAGTTTTGGTTTAAATATCATCAAATCATCTATAAAAAAATGATTTTGGTATTATTGAAACTATGACGTTTTATCATGCACTTAATCTGTGAGCATAACCTAATACAATGTACAGTGTACAGTACATACAATGGAATGCAAAACCTCTAACAACATTTTATGCTACCATTAAAATAATCATCTCACATTATTATTAAAACTTGTAAAGCAAAATTTACATTATTTTATTAAATAAACTTGTTATTCAAAAAAATTAATATGCAAAATAGATCATAGTGAATGTCACATCATTATGTTATTAGTACCATAATAACACTAAAAAGGAATACTTTCTGAATAGAAATTTTTTGAAAAAGTTCCACATAAATATAAATATTACTTATCAAGTATATAATAAACTTTCTATAAAAACCAGTTCATTTTTTAACTTTTTATTAATATCATTTGCATTTTCAAATGAATTAATAATGTAAATAATGAAAATGTTGTAATTTCAGGTCCAGATTTAAAAAAAAAAACAAACATTAAATTAACCTACTGCAATAAATTCTTATTTTAATATATAATTTCTTATATTTAAAATTAAAACATTAAACATATAAATAAAGAAAGCTTGAACAATGCATCAAATGTGAATTATTATATAATTTTATAATTTACAACTTTTGCACACTATTAAATTCTTAAAAGGAATGTTAAAAATGTTAATGAACATTTTCAGAAAATTTATATTAGTTGCATTATTAATTTGTCTGTTTAAAAAAATTTTAAGTAATAAATATATACACCAAATTTCATAAAATACCAACAAAGTTTTTAAATTAATGCATGCAAAGTTTAGTATATAAGTTAATGCATACATAACAAACCAAACTTGGATTTGTTAAATGAGTTAGAAATATTGAAAACCAATGAGAAAAGTTAAAATTCTGTATTAAGTCAATAATTTGTATTAAAGAGCAAGCAAAATGATACATGCAGGATAATCAAACAAAAACATTGTTTGTCAGGAATTGACTTGACAATGCCAACAAGAAATTTAAAATGCTATTCCTAAAGTCCTCAGTAAATAGATGTTTAAGATTTAAGTGTTTCTCACATGAAACAGCAATAACAAGCAAGCAACTCAGTGTTGTTAAGTGTACTCCTCAAAAGTAAACTTCTTATTTGATCACCCAGCATATCCTAAAAAGGTAAAATTAGTTCCTCAAAAGTATTAAATTAAATTAAATTAATTAAAATGTAAGACTCCTAGAAGAACATTTACTATCTTAAAAATTTCAATTATCAAGAGAGATAAATCTGTATTGAAAAATAAAAATATCCAATATTAATAACTTTAAATATTTGATCATATTCATTGAAGAATTTATCTTTCAATAAGATGAACTGATTAACTTACAATATATAAACACATTAAAAAATCTCTGTAAATGAAATTGAAGAGTATCATTTAAGCCATTAATAGTATTTGATGACAACATCCTGCAGAAAATTGTACTTCCTTAGTTATCAACTTTATCATTAGTGAGTTCATATATATAGCTGTAATACAAATAATAAATCTACACTGCCACAATTTAAGCTTTTCAGTTATTTAAATAAATTTTCATAATAATCTACAATGCCACATTTTAAAAAGTTTGTTAAAAGTGATATCATCAACATCATTTTAACATTTACTAAATTAAAATAATTTAAAATTTATGGACTGGTGTTAGTTATTTCACACAAAAATTCTTCCAAAAACTTTTTGTTTCTTAGGAACAAATTTCACCTGAAAACACAGTCATTAATGTTTTCAAGTAACATTGAACTTGTCTTAAGGGATACTGAAACATTTTAAAGACCTTTCAGTAACTTGATAATTAAAATTTCCTTTACTTTTGTACAAATTACTTTGATAGTACAGTAAGACCCCACTTAACGCTGATTCAATATAATGCGATCTTCTCGAAGCCTAAAAAAGCTCAAAATTTACACTGATTCAAATTATCGTGGAATTTCGTTGCTTCGCATATAATACGATTATTTCCAAACACGAACCAATCAGCAAAAAATGGCAATTTGTTGTAGCGCTACATTTCCCTTTATGTTATCTGTTTGTTTGGTTGTTTGGTGTAATTTTGGAAAAAATATAACATCATGGATGCCATAGGAAATATCGGCTTCACTTGGCAAGAATTAACCGATAAATGCACGAACGTGTGGAAGAAGTTATGGCTGAAGATATCCAAGAATTCTCAACGAGAATAGCCTATCACTGTATTGTTAGGTTGATCAAATTATCAACCTAATTGATACAGCAGGACTGGGAGATGTAGACGAGTAGGATATTGAGGAGTTACAGCAGGTTTCTGGTGAAAGCCTTACCAACAATGACCTTCAAAAACTGGCTGAACAAGGAATTCCTGTAGAACTGAAAAATAGAGAATTTAAACTTAAAACTTCAACTAGGACTTATCTATTACTAGGACTTATTATACTGGATAACTGGTTCTGCAAGTCCTAGTTGATGTTTTAAGTTTAAATTAATAAATTAAGGACACAAAGACATTTAAATTTGAAAAATAGTGATTCTGAAAATAAAGAACCCTTGAGTTTATGACAGTGGCAAGTCTTGACCATTTCTAGGAGAAACATCTTAACATATACAAATGAGTGTCGCTAGATCAACAAGCGCTTTCGATGATATTTATTTTTGTCTTTGTCAAGTCATTAAAAATGGTTAAAGTTCTTTCTTTTTTGAGTATGAATATCAAATTAGTCCAACGGTATTAACATTTTGAAACAAAAGCAGTGGTGGAACATAAGAGAACAATTTAAATAAAAACATGCGCGGCTATAATACGCATGTGCTAAAAGTCTCTAAACCGTGGAGCTAGATAAGTTGTCTTAGGCAGTTATACAAGTGACCCACAAAGGGGGAAATCAAGTGTGGGGGTGTTGCACAGATTTAGTACATTGATAAGGAGGGCCTCCCAAATATACACGAGGTTTCTGTTATTACAATGCCTTAGTATCACCACCTGGCTCCACAACGGGGTGTGTTGGTGTTGCAATACCAACACACCCCGTTCTAGCGAGCTCAGTTTCACTCTTGGTGTTGCAATACCAATTCTAGCGAGCTCAGTTTCACTCTTGCCTGCCCTGATGGAACATTGATGTTCCAAAATACAATAAGACAACATTCTGGTTGTCGCGCCAATATATTGGATGCAACCACCCGACATATTTTCCAGTGGGATAGAATAAACCCCAGATCTTTCTAGTATGGAAGTAGGATCTCTGTCATTGGCTAGCAACCTCCTAAGATTTGGCCATGGAGAAACTGGCAGAAAAAGCACATGTCGCCTAAAAATACGGCAAATACAGATAGTGACATGACCACAGAATGGTAACGCAGGAAGGACTATTGTAGGTTCTTTTGGGAGATGTAGTGTAGTAGCGAAAAAAAGCGATCTTTTTACCTTATTTAAGGTATGTATGTAACATTGTCCAGAGATGTACATAAACTTGGCATTAGTATAGCCCGCCTCATTTACCGCAGAGAGAATAACATTAAGCTCAGTAACAATAGCAGCTTGGCTGGAAGATAGAAAGGCCCTTCTGATTAAAGGGGCAATTGCCGCATTGATGTAATGTTGCGGCTGGTATGCTGTAGCAGGGATTAGGGGAGGAACCCCACTGAATTTATGGAATACCAAGTATACTCTAGTATCCTGGAATTTAGTAATTTTTAGATCTAAAAATGCGATTTCCCTTTCATTGTCTTTTTCCCAGGTAAGATTAATTGTGGGATAAATGGTCATGAGAAAATCTTTGAGGGCGAGGAAATCTTCATGGGTATCCTGCCAAGCTACTAGAATATCATCAGTGTATCTAAGGTATAACAGTGGATATGCTATCGTGAGGAGAAAGCTAAAAACCTTGAGTTCAATATTCCTCATGATCAACTCTGCTAAAATGACCATTTCTGAATTATACTTGACCATTTCTTTGGGTGGTGCATCAAATCAACCCCATTTGTTCTTTGCTAGATGGTCTTGACAGAACAGACTCCCTTAGGCCATGACTATGATCATGTCACAGATTTTTATTATTACACAGTTATTGGATAATTCTACACAACCTAGATTTGGACAAAGAAAAAGAAGGCTACCTTCTAATTTCTCATTTGCTTCAGATGCCTTCTTTGCTAGTTGCCTGAACACATGGATTCAAAGGCTAAGGCCAAGGATATATAGTTAAAATCATGATTTTTCCTTTCTAGAGAGACAACACATTAACAATGAATGTGGCAATGGCTTTTTTGGGCTTGAGCTAAGAAATGGTCATCTTGGGTGAGTGTTGCCATTGCAACACTACCCAAGACATATCAAAGACTCTGGTGCTATAAAAATCAGATTCCTGGGAGAGGACTTCTCACAGACCCTACTAGTACATGAAGAATGTTCCATTTTTACTGAAGAGGTGTTGGTCTTGTTACCAGCACATAAACTTTTGCCCCATCACATACTTGGGCAGGCCAATGGTCTATTTCTTGGACATCTTATCCATTCTGAAGGCACTCTTGAGGGTCATGGCTTGTTCTGCAAAGAGCATAATGTCACCATATCCATTTTTCACAGCTGAATGTAGCTATGGCTTGTCACTCAAAGTGGTTTTGATACCAGAACACTGTGGAGTTTGAATAAACAAGTGGATAGACTGGGCAGCCGTTCTCAGGGGATTGGTTGTGCAAAAGAGAATCAGTTGGAGAACAGCCAGTTAGGGACTGTTTTGAATGAGGTTATAAGACTTTAATTCAATCATATTGACTGTGATTGGCTTTTTAGAGATGATTTTTGCCTGATCAATATCTTGTTACTATGACTTTACATAGGGACAACTTTTTTATGAAGGTTTGTTTGCTCGTTGTTTGGGAGAGTCACCACTGTGTCCCTGTTGTAGAAAAGAATTTGTGGAGTACTGTTGATTGTCTTGCAGACATGACTAGTATGTGATACAAAAGCCCCATGCAGACCTAGATTCTAGAAGCTTAAAAAACAACTTTGCTAGAAACTTTTTGCTCCTCTGGTTTTGCTAGGTCCTCTAGTGAGGTACATACAGGAAATTGGGATGCTTTTGCCAGATCAGACTTCATAATTGGAAGTTATATAACTGTCCCATATATGGATATCAATACCAATTGGTCCAGCAAACTTGTAGTTGGAAGTAAGACACACTAGTCATAGTCTTGATCACCATAAGATAAGAAATTTTGTTATGTCAATGATTAGCAGATAAAACTATAATTTTGAAAAAAATCAACCTTTATAAGTAGCACAAAAAAACTTTTAATCATCAATATTTTTGGCCATTGAAGAAGGTCATTAGAAGTGGTCAAAAACATAAATGATTAAAGGTTTTTTGTTCTGCTTATAAAAGTTATTCATTGAGTTTATTGGGTTGTTCAGAAAATAATTTTGGTTTTTTCCGTGGAAAAAAAAACAATATTTTTATAATAAATAAATATTTTATTGAATTATATATCGACCATTTTGGTCAAATACCTGTTGTCATCGTTTCTGGTAGTAGCACGATTTCACATTCATAAAAGTTTTGATCGTTGCTTACAAAAAACCGATCCAAGTGATTTTTGACATTGTCATTTCAAGTAAATGTCTTACAGTTAAAAAAAATTGTATAGACTGGAACAAGTAATAATCTGAGTGTGCTCTATCTGGCGAATACGGTTGGTGTGATAGCACATCCCATCTAAGTTATAACAGTTTCTGACGAGTTACCAAACTTGTGTGAAATTTGACATTATTGTGGTAAAACACTACACCTGTTTTTTTTATCAATTCTGGCCAGCTTTTCTGTTTGATGATATTACTCAATTTGTTTACTCAATGGCAGTACACTTTCGAATCAATTGTTAAATAGTCTGGTAAAAGCTCCAAAAGAAAATTTCCTTAAAATCCCACCAAAGAGAGCATCTCTCTTTAAGAACATGTGGAACTCTTATATCAAGCTTTGAAACGAAACCAAGTTGGTTTCAAGTAACATAAACGGTTCAATTTGACAAATTTAATCTCTTAGTAATTTCACGTGTTGTTATTTGGCAGTTTGCTTCAATCAGTACCTTTATTTTCTTTTCATTGGCTTCAACTGGCCATCCAGAACATGGTCCATCTTCAATATTGAAATTGCCAGAACGAAATTTTCTAAATCAGTTTTGGCACGGTTGTTCTGTCAATACATCTTCTCCATACATGTCACACAATTTTTTCCTCGCTTGAACAGCATTCTTACCTTTTTGGTAATAAAAGAGCAAAATATGCCGAAAATGCTGCTTTCTATCTTCCATATTTGATGGGACACAAAAAAATAAACAACTGCACAAAATCAAACAAAATTTTTTACAAATAAGCTTTAAAATGCTAGATGTCAAAATATATAATGATAATACAGTTTAGAATGAATATGGCGGGAAAAATACGACTAATCTGTCTAGTGGTAAAAAAAAAACTAAATTACTTTCCGAACAACCCAATATTACCTTACATAACAGTATTTAATTGATATAATTATGAAATTGTTTCTTACTATTTTTCTGGATTATTTTCATTGGTAATCCAGATAAAATGTTTTATCATCACGATATAGTGTGTAATAAATTTTTGCATTACACTAATTAAAAGTTAAATTATATTTTAAATATTCTAAAAATATATTTTAGTAATTAAATTCTGTAATAACCAGTTGTTTACAAATTCAAAAAAATATTTTGAAATGTGTTTCTCTCAAAAGTTCTCTTTTTTTCAATTATTTGCTTTCATATTATTCATAATGTTACATGAATCAGTAATCCTATTAAATAACATCATTCAAAGCAATCAAACATGTAAAAAGTACATCTAAAAATATATACTAAATTTTTAGCAGATGTTTTTGAATGTATTTGTATACTAACTATTAATTTATTTAAAAATCAGTGTAATAGTGATAATTAAATATGAATGGCAAATAAATTTTTTAAATAATATTAAAACAGGAAAGTTGAAAATCATGCTACTCTATAATATATACATATATATTATAACATCTGTCAATTCTATTCTAAAGCACCAATCCAACATGTTTCCTTGGCACTTAGCCACATGGTTTATGTAACTGCATCATTCCAAAATGCTGCACATATATAAAAGATAATGTATTTTCGTAGAGAAAAAAGCCTATAAAATATTTTAATTCAATATTCAGAATATTTGTGTATTATTCCTGTTGTTTTCAGTCATTGAAATAAAAAAAAAGTTTAACAATTTTTGATTCCTATACTCCAAGTGATATTTAAAATTAAACTAACAAACTTAAATTGTAATTGAATTGTAAATATGGATTAAATCATAAATAAAACCGATACTGCTTAAAATAGCATGATTTTCAATGCATTTCAATTTATGTAAAGCTCAATGTAAATGAATTGATCTTTTAACAAGTGATCTACTCTGGCATTAAAGCAAATTTGTCTGCAATTGAAAGGAGGACTCAAAACCAATCCTTTTGACAAAATGTAGGAAGTCTATTCAACAAAGAACATATTCACAGAAAAACAAACATATTCAACTTATTGGATATTTTGTTTGATAATTATAATGCTCATGCACAGTCATTCATCAATCTGGCAATCATTGGCAGTAGTTGAAAGTAAACAGTCATGTGACCTGAAAAACCAGTAGTCCTCAACCTTTTTTTACCCATGGAACCCTTTTCCTCTTAATTTTTTTTGTGGACCCCCATAGACAAGGCACAGGAAAAAAAATCCTTATATTTTTCATCAATAAAAAAAGAAACAAAAACATTCAAAAATGTCACTGTCAAGTGAAAATGACACTGATGGAATAAGATTCTCCTAACAAACTCTGACTTTATAATCTCTCTTTGACCTTTGTCAATGAGATATATATGTCATATATGTATTCAATATTTTAAATAATTTATATTTTAACCCTTATGCAATAAATGAGTAATAAAGAAATTGACAATATATATATTGTAGATATTTAATTCTCAGTAAAACAATTGTTTTGAAGTAGAATTACCCTATAGACCACTAAAATATCACTGTGAACCCCAATTCGGTACTTTCTTCTGTGGACCCCGATTGAGAACCACTGGTCCACACAATGAAGCAACCATATTGACTCATTTATGCTCGGCTTAATATTTTAACCATGTTTAAACTGAAAAATAATCATTAAAGAATTAATTGCTTTACTGTTATAAAAAATAAAAGAAAATACAGTAAATATAATTTATATTTTACACTATTCCAAATTTCACAAATCACACCTAAAGTCAAAAACACATATCGAACGTTTTCAGCCACTAAATTTATCGGCCTTCCTCAGGAACTATCAACTGGAAAAACCGTTCTATAAATAGAACTTCGCTGCCTTTTCAATTTTTTTAAAAGAACGAAAATGGCTGTGACGTATCCTGTATGGCATATATTATGAGTCTAGATAGCGTTTCCACGCTGACGATACAGGAATGACATCCGTGTTGATGCAGTTTCCACTCATGCTCGCCTTGTAGATCTCTACTACTTCTACAATTTTTATATTTTGCCTGTCGAAAACCTTGTGTATTAGCTTGGCCTGGTCCCAACGGGGAAATCCCCAGATTGCTGGCATACCGTGCCAAAGCCGTATTGATGTTACCTTTTAGCACGTCATATTTATGATCTTTTAGTCTGGCTTGCAGCAATCTGTACGTGGATCCTATGTAAGCTAGTAATCTGTCAAACCTCTCATCATATAGGGGGATGTGGTAAATCCCAGGAGCCAGAGCGTCTTCATTGTCGTCCTTCGCGTTTGAGAGAAGGCAGAAAACGGTAGGTTTCCTTCTATAGGCAAGGAGTACGTTTAAACTATTTGCAATCCTTCTATATATGCGATGTAGTGTTGGTTCGTAGTCTAAGATCATCTGTTTTGCTTCTGCTTTGTTAACCGTGTTAGATGACCGAGTTAGATGTTTGGATGCCAGACTGTTGATAAAAGTGCGGCCATATCTGTGGTTGTATGCTACTTGTTTGAGATGTTCCAGCTCCTTGTTGGTATCTGTAGAATCATGTAGAATGGGAGTAAGCTCTGGCCACAAAAGTGCGGAATGCGGATGTTTTATATGACCATGGGTCCGCTGAATTGGAAGGTATAAATAGGGAGATGCAAGTAGCCTTGTGGTAAATTGCCGTGATGAATTTAATATCAGCTACTTGAATTCTGATGTCTAAGAAATTAATGCTATTACCGCTCTCCTGATCCAACTTTAGCGTTAATCTGTAGCTGTTATTATTAAACATTTTTAACGCATCCCCAATATTAGGACGTTTTCTCCATACAACTAAAACGTCATTGACATATCGGGTGTACAGAAGGATGTTCTGCTTGATGTTTTTTAATGCCCGTTCCTCCAATTGTCATAGGACTAATTCACAAAGATTCCCTGAGATGGGGCTACCCATGGGTACTCAACGTTTTTGGATGTAGGTATGTTTGTTAAATCGAAAACAGATATAAACAGGATGAATAGTTTTCGATTTATAGTGAGGTTGTATTCCAAATTTTTATAGTTTTGTATTCAAAAAGATTCTTTAAATGAATATTGTGATTTATGAAATATATATATTATTTATTCAAGTGTAAACAGACCTCACTAGTATATACACTGATTTTTTTTAAATCCATAAACTAGTTTTCAAGTTGAGATAAATACAATTCTTTCTTTCACCCTAATTTTCTTTATTACTATTATTGTAGTTTAGTTTACTAGTTAACATTTTGATTTAAATTTTTTGATTTGTAATACATTATATACATTTCAAATCTAAAAAACTAAAACACAATGTTAAAAACTGTAAAAAAACTATGCTTGAAATAAAAAAACTGATACATTTTATATACTTTATAAAATGTTAAGGTAATTTTAAGAACAAACAGAAGATAGTATCATAAGAATGTATATCAAACCAAGAGGAGGATATAGAACCCGAATCATGTATTGGCAGATCAATGTGAAAAAGACAAAGTATTAAATAAAATGGATGTATTAACAGCCTACTGTCTTAAAATATCACCTCACTGTGAGTTGGAAAAAAGAAATGTTTCAAGCCTTAAAACTCATTATAATTCTTTGATTTATCAAAATGTTTACAAAAAACTTCCTTTAATTCTTTTGTAATCTTTTAGTTTATGAATTCAAATCAAGTCACATACTGTATGGATACTAGTATCAGAGCTGTATATAATCTGATAAATTTATGAACATGTAGATGTCATGTACTGTACACTTATGTGTATCATTTACAATTTTTCTTGAATTCATTGTTTAAGTTATGAAATTTATAAACTTGATTATTATTTAAAGTAACGAAAATGTTTATTTTTACAATAAATTATTTGGTGGTAAATACAAATTTTTAACTTGTTCAATTTTAATAATATTTAAATATAAAATTTTGCAAACATTTCTC